ATCGAGGTCAAATTAAATTTGCACCACCTCCTTTTCACATAGCAATGTCAATAAACGAGTTTTTGGCCAGTAATAATATTAGTAATAATATCAGCCTACTTATTCGCCTGACTTGAGTCCTTGTGACTGTTTTCTCTTCCCGAAGTTGAAAAATCACCTCACGGGAACTCCTTTAGAGACAGTCGAAAACATTCAAACGGCTGTAACCGACCAGCCGAAGGCTATTCCAGTATTGGACTTCCAGCGCTGCTATGCTAAGCAATATTTGAATAAAAAATTTGAAAAATCAGACTCGTTACTTAATTTACAGACCTCGTACGGCTTAAAATTCATTGATTACGGCTACTGTCTAGTACGTTCAGGAATACAATACTCTGTCCGATACGACCAGTTATCCCGTATAACAAATTTTTAAAATCAAGCACGTACAAACGAGCAGGTGTTTGTATATGATATAAAAAGTATTTTGACGATTTAACGCTAATTTAAAACGCTGAAAGTTTAAGTTATATATGTTCTAAAATATTGAACTTCAGAAATGTTATATATGTAGATGTAATCAACTTGAAATTGGAATTATTTTCAAAGCCGAAGACCGCGCTTATAGACCCTGACCCTTTTCATATAAGCAACAGGTAGATACACGTGTTTTTCAACAGTGAGTGGATATTTTTTCCGGGATGCTATTAAAATGTTGGAGCATCGTCTAAACAAGGTCATTGATGTTGGGACGGATTGAGTAAAAAAATAAAACATGAATTAAGTGTAGCTTTATTGCAAGGGGACCATGGGTGGAACATAGGGATCAACCCTCTTATATGGCAAAATTTCCATTTCCGATTCGCGGCGTTGTTGTAAGGGAGTGAAAGTTGGTACACCTGGTTATTAAACTTAATATATTTACCTACCTTTCTTCGACTGCAACGTTTTCCTGCATCAAATTTCTTGCAACTTCAGTAGATATTATTACAGACTCCTGCTTGATAGGTGTTAGTAGTTCGATTGTTATGGTTGAGGGTAAGTTAGTATGGTTTTGGTTATTTTCCTGAGAAGCACAGTAATCTTCTACAACAAAAAACTATATGTTAGTAATGTTACAAAGCGAAGCATGTATTAGGTTGAAACATGCAGTCATACAACACAGAAGTAACTTGGTAAGTATGGATCATTACACATACATATGAATGTCAATTTTTTTGGAGCCATTTTTACGTCACTGTCACAATGAATGTTTACTCAGAATAGAAAGATAATATAAAAAAGTTATTTCCCAGACAAATTAAAAAATCCCCAGCCTTCAAGTGAATATCGTGTTGATTTTTTTTGCCTCCTTGATTGAAAAGCATACAGAAAAATATATGTAACTTTTTATTAACTCGACCAATTGTCATTAAACGACTTATTTAGTAATCTGCAAATGACACCCAGCCATATGATGGCCCATTTAGACCTACTTGCTTGCTTTGGTGCTAACCCCCGCCCTCTCATAACTTTTCAAGATGTGAATCCATTTCCAGCAAACATGGCTAAGCACCATCTGAACAAGCAAGGGATTTGATTAAATAAGTACATATAATCAGATCGGTGTTTGAAAGTTTTTACGCTCTTCATTAAAACATCAGACCGATTTACTAATCAACAAATGTGACGTTTTCATTTGATGGCTCCTCCCCACTCCAGAACATCTGAATCGACTTTAATCAGTTAGGTTCACACGGGGCAAAATGGGGAGTGAAAAGTGATCTAGTGAGACTGGAGACTGTTCACACAGTTCATTCCTTGAAGCCGACCATAAAGGAACTTCTGGTAACAGGTTGTGAAATTTTGAGCTCAGTTTTTAGTGACATGTGAGCGAAAAGGTTGTGGGAGTCATGTGAAGGGTTAAAAGTTCAGAAGAAAAGCGTTATTGGGTCACCATTACATGGTGATTACCATATGCCTCGTCCACACCTGAAAATCAAACTTGTTTGATACCGAGGGTGAGCGGTGGTGGACTTGCCTCTCTCCCGAAGACGTTAAAGGCAACCTCACGACACCTCGTTCAGAGGGAGGCAATTCCACGAATGCAAAGATCACGCTACGTGAAAACGTAGCTGTAGCACCGTTTCGATGGAACTGGATTTAAAAAATGCACTCGAACGTTTTGGAGATACGATGCTACAGAAAAACAGACATACACACACAGATACACAGGTTAAGCTTATAAGACCCCTTCTTTTTACTTCGGGGGTTAAGAAATAAATGAGTTATTTGCGTCCAACATGTCGTAGGGATTGTAGAAATAATTATTTTTTGGAATCAATATTTAAATGATATAAATTTATTAGAGGTAGATTTATTAATAAAGAAAAATACATTGAAACAAACAAATATTTTAAAGATAGATACTTTGTGAAATTGGAAATATATATAGTTTATTACAATTGTATAATACATCTGCACCATCAGCGAATCACTAAAAAATATATAACGAAAAATAAACATGAAACAAAATCTTATTAGACACTTCATATACTTATACGTAAGTGATTAAAGCATTAAACAGAGTTATGACCGAAAAAATACAACATATAACAAGAAATCAATTTGTAATCACAAAAAATATATATGAATTAAAAATAAAATTATTAGGCTGTATTATATTTTATACAGGGCGAGATAAATACATTATAATTAATAGCTAAAGATTTATTGCAGTTATTATAGGATATTAAATTCAATCAATGAACAAATACTCAAAATTATAAAAAACACATTTCGTAATCCATTGGTAAAAAATTGCATGACAGGAGATAAAAAATCAATAGAAAATAATTATTGTCGAGACAACACCACACCTGATACGATAACACATTTTTGTATCAGGTACTGTTCAGGATTATCATATAAATTTCAAAGTGCGGAATTATGATTTTGAACCAAACATTACAATCTAAAGATTGTAATGTTTGTAAACAAAAATGTTATGAAATGTAGTAAACAAAATTGTTCATTCATTGCCTGAATTAGAATCATACTGACAGTTTTGTTTGACAACCCTGTACCTGTAAAATCAAAACTACTTTGTGTTTCAACAAAAAGCAAATTCTAAATTTGCTAAAAAATAAACGCTTTATTTCTATGAAAAAACTTACAACTAGCAACGTTAGTAAATAAATGTCTATATTAATTGCACTTATTGTTTATGCTATCCTTAGTTTAAAGGCCACTTACCACCCTCTTGGGCCATTTTGGCCTTTGGCCAGTGACCTTACATGGAAGAACAGTGACGATAGAACTGGCCTCGGCCTAACAAATATTAAACAAAACCAACAAAAAAAAATAACTATCACAAAGTGATTCTACGCTATTGCTTATTTATCTGATTGTTTATTACGCAATTCTTCGAAAAGCAATTTTTCGTTAGTGTAACAACTGAATATGAAAAATAAATCATAGTATACAGGGTGTCCCAGAATAACATCAATCTCGTATGAATTCTATATTCAAAGCACGCTACCGGAAATCGATTTTTCTCAAATAACTTTGGAAAGCTACTGTAGCATTCAACAGAACTTTGAAGGCTAACTAGTTTGCGCATCATGTGATGGTGTCCCTGGAAAAAATTATCTCGTTTAGATAGCCAGGGATGGACTAGCCCCAACACAATGTTGCTAAAAAAAGTTACACCCTATATAATAATGAGCGAACGATAGCGTTATTGGAAAGCCCGATCTTGAAATTGACCAATTCGTAATTAGTGACCCAAAAACCCCAGGATAGAAATCTTAGGATTGCCTGATTGCGTAAGATTTAAGTCAGAGTTTTTGGGGAAAGTCGAGTTGTAAACCAGGTTTTCTAAAAATCTCAGCAACATTCTTTTAAGCCTTGTCTATAGCCAGCGATCTTATTTTCCAAGGACACCATCATGTGTGGCCCCAACTAGTTAATAACCTGTCAAGGTTAAATTGAATTGTAGCGAAAGACGCTTTTGAAGGAAGTGGCATTATTTTTTCCAAGCATACATGGAATTGGCATGTTATTCTGGGATGCCCTCTATCTTTCTGCTTAACCTTCTCGTTAACAGGTCTCCTACGTTAGTATATAGACAAGATTGTAAAAATCTAAGATTAAAGACGCCAAATGTAAAACTGCAACAACCACGAAAATTTAGATGTAATTATTTTGCGGCGTCATGCTACCACCATGAAGCATTTAAAAAATGAAGTTGCATGTTCCTTCCTTGAGATGATTCTTTTGATATTTTCTGTTGCATCTTCATAGCCTATGTTACATTCTATACGAAAACTTTGTATTCCCTGAACACATTGAAACAGTCGTAGTTATATTGTTCAACTGAAAATTAGACCGTTTAAATGAAGACATCAGCAGACTTGTGGAAGTTGAATAAATAAAATTCTTAGACGGAGCTGTATGCTGTTTCACACATTAATCATTCGCCCTAAATTATATGTACATTCCATCCCATGGAAGCTACCTATCTAATGAAAAAATCCTAATAATAACGAATAAAGCAACATACGCATGAAAATTATGGTTTTAAATCACGTGATTATTGTTAGAAATAACTTTTTGACCAGTAGCCTCATTACCATTGAATTGATGGAAAATCTTATTGTCAGCTGTAAAGGTAAAAAAGTCGCGGAATGGAACTGAAACTATCTTGCAATCCTATTGCAAATCAAGTCATTATAAACAAAAATGAATATTAGTCTAAGATCATTGTGCGGCAAAATCAACTGAGTAGTTTCTAAGGGTTTTAAGACATCTGGATCTATAGAAAAAATATTTTTAATTTCCGAGTGAGCGATTTTATGCAATTTTACATTTATCAAGTTTGCAGCCGTTAGCAGCAACGCACTGTTGGAGACGACTTCGGAAGCTCTGAACAGCTCGTTTATTCATGTCCTGATGATATAGTTCACTTTAATTAAAAACATTTTTTCTATAGATCCCGATGTCTGTAACGATTTGAAATTGCTTAGTAGATTTTGCCGCACCTTGTACTACAAAATGTTCATCATTCGTTAGCGGCTGAAAACTCAGTATTTTATACCTACATCCTAGTTGGGACTTCTTTGCGACAATTTTTATTATTAATATGATCTTAGATTGTATCAGTTCATCTGGACTCAAAAACGTCTTTTATCCATTAAAGGCTGAAACTTGCCCGTTGATCAACATAGTCCACCTGAAAACAGCCAGCCACGTACTGTATTTAGACGTCCAAGAAGAGATCTGGAAGATATTAGCGCCACCTAAGAGACAGTAGCCGGACAAAAATGAATATTAGAGAGATATAGAATTTGGTTCTGCTACTGTCTTATAGATGGCGCTAGGAACAGCATCCTTTTGTGGCGGCTCTATAATTAATATTTTAATTGGGTATCTTCAGGTTAACCAAGACTTGGAGATACCCCATTAAAATAGGCATTCGAGAGACCAAAAAGGATTGAAGATCCTAGTGCCAACTGTGAAAGAGTAATAGAATCAAACTATCCAAATCTTTTCAAAGTAGATATCTAAATTCATGTTTTGTCTGGCTACTGTAACTCATGAAGCTACAGTATTACATTAACCTAAAATAAAAATCACATATCACTTGGAGTATTTTGATTTCTAGTGGTAAAGCATGATAAATTCTTAAACCTTGAACAAAAAGAGATTTATCCAATTTCCTAGTTTTGAACCTTCCAATATAATAATCGTTTTTCGATCTTATGTCATATGATAGCATACCAGATCCTTTCAACATAAGTTTGCTAAAATAAGTTGGCGCTTTATTGTTTATAATTTTATATGATAAAATCAAATTAGCCTATTTTATGATTTCCTGCGATGTTAAAAAAATTTTACTTATTATTATGTACTTAGTGCATTTTAATAGTATTATCATTCACGTGTTCAATAATAGTTGCAGCCTCTGCTTATCATCTACAAAACACGAAACACGTAATAATAAGCAATAATTTAAATCTGGATATACAGGGTATCCAGTGGGAAAGCTCACATTTCAAATTACGATTATTTTCTGTGGGGTTATCTAACGTCAAAAGTGTATACCAATAACCCACGAACACTGGAGGAGCTTAAAGACAATATTCGACGAGAAATAGACATCGTCACTCCCGAACTCTGCAAGAGTGTTCCAGAATTTGCGCGCGCGATCAGAAGAGTGTGTCCGAAGGAATGCAAACATTTGGACGGAATGATATTCAAGAAATAAAACCCGCCGAATTTACGAATATGTTGATAGTAATAAATATTTTCTCTTCAATCTTTGTATTTTTTTCTTAAATCAAAAAGTGAACTTTCAAACTAGACACCCTGTACTATTGTGTTATATTTTTTTTTTACTCCACAGAGACAATTCGGATGAAATTCTGCCGAAATATCCTACTTTTTTACCAATTTACTCCACATGCTCACTGAAACCTAAATTTTGGTCTGTAATTACTTCTAAATAATTTTGTTTACAAATGTTATAGTTTCACATATGGCGCTAATATCTCTCAGAAATAATGCTAATCAATGACGTTACTCAGAGTTTTATCATTAGACAATGGAAATTCAGTGTGAAACAGCAAATCTCATCAAAACAAACGTGTTTAGATATTCCCAACACCTTGATTAAAAAATATATATATTTCAACATGGTTAAAGACTTGTGCGCGCCGGCGGCAAAAAATTCTTTAATACAAAATATATATGTATACATATTCATAGAAATATTTAAAATTATTGTCTATTCTGTGCAGTCAATATTTAAAAAAATTAAATTGTATATTTATGTTGAATACCTCTAAGGATAACTAAATATAATGTTAAACAAATTTGTTATGAACAAATATCTCTAAATCTACAAACATATATTTTTTTTGCTGACATATGACAACGACCTATGCGATTTTGAACTACCAGTCTACTTTATATTTTTTGTCATATGCCTGAGAAGCAAGTTACTAAATTATATTTGCAATACCCCTAATCTATATCCAAACCGAAAAATAAAAATAAGAAAAATCGGAAATATAACTTCGATAAATATTTTCTTTTAAGTCCGTTCGACGTTAATAAAGATATTTTTGTATTATTCACTGCTTAGCAGTTGGTAAAAAATTATTACTATGCATAAAACCTTTCAGGTTGTTTTTAACCGCGATGGGTTAATCACATAATATAATCAGCGTATGATCAGTAGAAATGCGCAAAATACTTTGGTTGAATATCTTATTTTAGTTTCTGTATATATCACAGCGGATAGTAAAAAGAAAAATAAATCATTTGTACATGATAATTCAAATGAACATGCCATATTCTGAGCATTATCTGCGCCAAAAACGAAAGTACTTATGAACTCTTATAGGCATTCGTAAAGACATTCTCTATAAATAAATAAAAACGGCTTCACATCTGACTTCCAAAACTCAAAATCCTTCCTTGACATGAAATTTCGGATCAAAATTTTCCCACAACACGTAGCGTAGGGCTGTTACTCACAGGGTTCAAACCTTGGGCCAACCCTTTATTCAGTCCCAATACATGACATCCCTTGCTTCAGAATATTCATATCACGACGACAGAGCTAACTAAGCTCAAAAAATGTACTAACAACATATTTTTGATTCTATTGCACAACAGTACGTCTGAAAAGTCTAGGGGTGTCGGGATAATTACGTTTATATATAGTAGCAACACTTGTTGTATCTCCAGGAGAACAATTTACTTGTATCAACTTTTCGTAAAGCGAACCTGGTTATGGTTAGTTTGTTATTTAGGTGTACCTATATTAAACGGATCAAATCCTTTGTAAAAGTGCTTCTATACTATTTAACCAATTTGAAACTATTAAATAGTTTAGTAGTTGGATAAACTTACTCAATTTTGCGCCTTTCTACCACTCACACTATTACTCTATTATCAAATATAACTAAAATTGTACTTTCAACTGACAGCGAAACACCTCCACAATTCATCTACAGGGTGGCCAGTTGCATAACTGACCGATTTGTTTCATCAATATCTGTTAAGTAAAATGGAAAGTAATATTTTATTGAATGTTAGGAGTTATGGAATGCTGGAAATTGTAACAAGAGGATTCATTATTCTGTGGGTTTTTCAATATCTTTCTTCATGCACAACTTCTAACCTTCAATATGAAACTAAAATTAAAAAACTAGACATACTCTATTTCCTTTTACAGATATTGTAGAAGCAAATGAGTAATACATTGTCCACCCCGTACTGTCCTTTGACATCAGCACCTGCTAGTACGGATCTGCTCTTTGCAACCTTTCATCTACATTGTGGGGAAGAATCCCATTGGAGGAAAGACAACGTCTTTGGGCATGAAGCAGTCGTGGACAGTCTTCATGTGGTTCTTCATTTTGTCAGGCCTGGAGAATTCCTTTTGACAAACCGGACAAGGGAACACCTTGCGCTGGTGGCCTTCGTGGTAGAGGAAAGCGTGTCGTTGGAAGCTGTATTTGTTCTTGAACGTCTTCTGAATGTCCACTTTGGCACACTCGGTGCACTGATAAATGCCCTCGTTGATCGATGCGTACCTGAAAGAAAATTTATATGTCAGTATGACCTACGACAGAGATGTCGCAAGTGGAGGCCATTTATCGATGCAGCTTTTATTCCTATTCGATGGCATTCCTCAATAGGTGGCGTTCACAGCGAGTGCGCGTGGCGGGCACTAGCAGCTACTTAGTCCAAAGTTGACATTTTTAATGACATTATAACCATTTTTACGTAATACCGCTGCTGACCCTATTTGTCTTGTGGCTGCAATCTCAAGATCCTCGAAGTTTTCTAACTCATTTAACTGCGAAATCATCCGGGAAAAATATATTTTGACGGTTGACTATGTACCACAGAAAGACTTAGAAGCTTGTATATATATAAATATATATACAGGGTGACTTTGAAGTTGAGTCATTAATTTTCAGATAATGATTGTAGAAGGAAGATAAACCAAAATATGTGTAAAAATAAAAAAAAAATTAAAAAAAAAATTTTACCTTGTTTTATAAAGTATCCTCCCGACAAGTATTTCAGTGCGGACCTGTATTTGATCGTGAGGTCCCCTGTGAGGTCTTAAGTCACCTGATTCACGAGCCCGTTGTACTACATTAACAAAGGCACGAGGGGTTGGTTGCACTCGATTGGGAAACCGATCCGCATAAACATGTGCCATTTTTTATTTCGTTTGAGCCACGCAACAGATACCACTATTCACTGACACTGACTGTATACAAATGAATGAAATAATTGTAAAAACATCGTTCCAAATTCTTTCGCTTTTTTGTTTCCGATGCGATGAACCGATACGGCGGATTATATCCGTTGTCGCCAAACACGAGCACATAATATTATTATTGAGACAGGGCGGTACTCAAACTTCCAAAGGGCTTACTACTTTGTAACTTTGTTACTTTAATTTTACCAGAAAAATGGTAAAGGAAAAAAACATTTCTTTTGATCAGATCTACTCACTGTTAAAATAAATGACTCAACTTCGAAGTATATATGTTTGGGTTTAGTTTTTTCTCCAATAAATGGACTATAGATATAGAATCGTAGAGATGGAGGGAGAGTTTACCATTAGATCATGGCACAATCACGCTGATATGGAGTTTCAAATGGGCTTTCACTTTGTCCGGTCTGGAAAACGTTTTATTACACAAGGGGCACGGGAATACTTTCCGCCTATTGCCTTCGTGAAAGAGGTAAGCGTGGCGCTGAAAGCTGTACTTGTTCTTGAACACCGTCTCAGTTCCTTTTTTCTCACATTCAGTGCATCGGAACAGGCCTCCGGTGAATGCAGCGAACCTGCAAGAGAAGGTCCCACTTGAGGTACGTTTCCATTACTGCAAAGTCCCGCAACATGTTGCGAATGAAAACGTACCTAAGCGTACCTTCCTCGGCCGCAACATGTTATAAACTGTCACCATTTAAACAAATCTCTGGCACATGTGCCGCCACATCACGTGCAACATGTTGCGGGACTGGCCCATTATGAACGATACAGTAATAATTTTTATCATTCATGTTTCAAAAACAATATATCAGTATAATAGAATTACTATCTACAAACTGAACTGGTGAAATGGGAGCTGCGGTGATTTAAGCAATATTTTTCAATCAATATGTACGCTAAGAGGAAACAGCACTGACAAGCGCCACCTACAAACGATTCGCCAGCGCTTGATACTTCTTTAGCCCATACGTGGAAAATGACGAAAGGCTGCCTCTGTCTCAAAATGACCATGTTTACACCGTAGGTAACCAATCGTTTTTTGTGCATAAATACTATCTGTGTCGTGGCTTTGAGTCACACTAGTGCTTGAATGCCTACGCTGTAAACATGACCTCAGAAAGATTTGGCGAACCATTTGTATGTGTTTCTTGTCAGTGTTGTCCCTCTTTGCACACAACATACTGACTAACGACTAGACCTATATGGGCAATCAGGCGGAATATGAGATATTTTCAAGGCTACCAGCAATCGCACGCTGTAAAAAATAGCATAGACACGCATCCGTGTGCTATCCGCGTCTGTAAACATGACCAACCGCATACAACATTGTTTCACGTTTATTAGTAATCCTCATCAAAGTACAGGACTATTCATTGGAGACAGATAAACGAAAAGCGAACTGGTAGGTATGGTATATTGACAAACTATGTAGAATGTAGACCTATACCGTAATGATGATTACCAATAAGCTTGAAACAATGTCCAATGTGCACCTTCCACGTTCACCAGTTCATTCTATAGTCATGATCAGTATTTACCGTGGTCTGAACCTTCAGTAATTACTGATAATTCTGTCAGAATACCAGCTGATTATCTAGCAAGCGTCCAACCATATTTTTTTCAACTTGTTGGTTCACTGTTTACCAGTTTTTGACGTTTGTGAATAAACCTAACCTCACTTATGCTATTCTATACATTCTCTTCAGCATTGTATACATTGTATACATCGAGACGCAGAAAATTAATGTTTACGCGTAAACGCCCATCACAGCCTAATTCTCATAGTGAGGATCAAAGTGCACTTGACATAAATAAGTCATTTTTTTACAGTTGTCATTAAATTCGTATATTTAGTCTAATTTTTTAAAAGTGCGAGTGTTTGCAGATAATTATGGTCTTAGACGATTTCAAGACATGGTACTTCTTACATTTGTAAATAATAGTACAAGCTAATCAAGGCAGATGTTTCACCGGTAAGTACTACTATTACGTTGATACAACGTTGTCACTTTTGTAGGCATTAGTTGACAAATAAGTCAAAAGTACGCACTAAAACTACGCAATTTTGGTGACAAACAATAGGCTAGGCTCCTTCTAACCTATTCGAATTCGTTGTTATAAACAGACAAACATGTCAATTGCTGATCAGCTGTTCACGTCAGTAGACCAAAAAACGTGATGATGTTGGAAAATCGATGACGTTTCTATCAAATCTATATTTTTCTCATCCATTTTTGACAGTTTTAACTCCAACCACATAAGCGCCGCCTAGTGAGATCAAAGTTGGGCATTGCTGTCATTTAAAAAGACAAGGTGAACAAAGGCAAGCTTCAGACATTCTGTACAGTCTTCTCTTTGCTTTTGCTTTGTATTATCGCTTTGACCATGTAATAAATCTGACTAAAGCATCAACGAAAATTTCAATTTTGGAACTCACCTGAACAGATTCAGCCCCCTAACGGACATCTCAGTCAACGCCTCGGCAGGATCCTGACTCTGTGATGACGCCCTGCGTCTCACCCTGCGTTTGGCCGGCTGTCGCCCTGACATGGGCGCCCCCATTTGCCCCTGAGTCGCGCCTGGGGTGCCGCCGCCGCTTGTCGAAGGCGTCGTGTTGTTATTGTTATTATTCGAGATGTCGGGGGTGCTCATGCGGGACGACTCTGAAGGAGTGCCAGGCTGTTCGCTGAAGTGGTCGCTTTGGTGGTCGACAGGCTCGCTTTTCGGAGTAAGAAGCTGGTGGGGCAACGGTGATTCTGTGGAGATGGAAAAGAACGTGAAGGACATGGACATCTGGTAATTAAGATGGAATGCTACTAAGACATACAGAAAGTCGAAGTTGGGACTCTCCTTTGCAAAGCGTATATGTCATGCAACAATAAGCAAATAATTCATCGAAATACATACACAAGAACCTTAAGACAACGTAAAAAAGTAGAAAGATACGACTTTTTCTCAAAGCGGTCAGGTGGACCTTTGCTCTTGGTTAAAAGTCTTGTCGATCTGTTTGTCAGATCTGGCTACCCAGATACCAAACATGCTCAAGGGGAAAAGGAAAATAGGAACAGAAAGGAAGAAATAGAGCAAAAAAACGAAGTAAATCATTTGAAGTAGAAAGCATTATTTGCTTGACTACTCGAATAATTTTGTAACTAAAAAGTAATTTTGATCTGTTTTGTATACAGAAATAATTTTGCTTGCACTCAATATTCGATGCTAGTCTGAAAATAAGTTCATAGAGATCAGAAGCCTGATTTGAACTGAATATCGACCGTTGAAATTAATTTCGATGTCTTATCTCATCCTACATATTATCCTCATTGTCATCCGATTTCAGCGAATTTAATTTTAATTTCAACGGTCGAAATTCAGTTTGCTGATATTTCATCCCAAATTTCTGAGCCTTTCTACATTATGAAAGCGATGATTCTTCTTCTAGACCCATTTTACTCTTAAATACGCGATATACAAAATAATTGTACTATTTCCTTCTGGAACATTCGAAAATTGGAAATCAACAAATTTGATTTTGGTTCGATTTTTAAAGTTTGCGCTCTTTATGGGACATCTTAAATTCAGAATGTCTTTATTTGAATCAATTTAAAACTGTAAGGACTAATTACACAACTGATAGCTAGAGATAACCATTGATCACTACTGGGCCCAAATATAGATCTTGAATCAACTAGACTTGTCGATTGAAAAATGGAACTATTTCGTACACCGAAATTTTTCGGATCAACAAAAGGCAAGTTGAAGTCGCTCAGGCCCATCTAATAAACTAATGCTCTACTTTTTGAAAAATCAATCACATCGTGTAATGTCAAATATCCCTGAAAATAATAATTTGAATCTATAGGAAAAGGGAATTTCCAACTGAATCCATTTTTAAGAATTCATTTTTGTCAGGGATGATAGAAAACATATGTGATTTACGGAACTTTCGTCACTACAATATTTGAAAGCAATTTAGATCTTACTGAACAAAAAACGAGTCAAGCCGACAAGCGTCTGGCAAATCGACCATTCAAAATAAGATTTGCATATGCCTTATATGTCAAATAACGTTTTAAATAATTTTCAAATAACTAAACCATGCCAATCTTCTACTGATAGAGCATAATATGAATTAAAATCAATATAATCAAAAGCATAACTACAATTAATTTTCTATTAAATTACCTGCCTCCTCAGCTCAAATGTCCCTCAAAAAGCAGCTTTTAAAATAGTAAAAACGTGAATATACAATAAAAACAATTTCGAAGGCATTTATAAAGTATAATTTTATTTATAAAGAAAATTCATCACATACAAAAATTACTTAAAACTAGCATTGGTATAACATGTCAATAATTCTAGTCAACAAGAATTTGGCATTAAAGTACAGACTAAAGACACTTAGGTAAAAATTTGGCCTGAATATTCAGTCTTAACATCATCAAAAATGGAACATTTGTCCTATATATAATAAAAAGATATGTTAGTAACAGGTGTAATCAACATCTAACGATAACATATATTGAGTTACTCTAAAATTCATATAAAAATAAGCTCACAGGCTAATATTGCTTTTCAGTTATAGTAATTGCACAAGGTGAACTTTTAGTTGGTAGTAACAATCTTTTGGTAATTCTCAGTGTCGCATGGGTATCATGTAAAAAACCTATAAAACGTCAAAAAAAACCTATAAGATGTCATCTTGCAAACTAGGTAGTTTTTAGGGCGCAAACAGTCATTCCACGTTTGCTCACTAGGATCGTTGTAAACGTCCATCTACGGAGGAATCACTCAACTAAACTACACGCATTATTGGTTGCATATGTTTTGTGAGGCCAAATGATCATTGTAGTTTTTATCTCTGAGAAAGTTGGTTGCATAGCATCTGGATGATTATGTGTACTGGTCTGGATGTGTACAAAATCAGTTATATTTGCTGTGTGAGAAAATCATTACTGAATACGCTGCCAATGAAGTATATCTATTGGCTGTGCCCGATGGGTTATTTTTATGTTGTGCTTTCTGAAGAGAGGTTATATTCAAAGTTATCAATTACGAAAAACTAAGGAGAATTACGGGAAATCATCACCGCGCCCGCGTTGTGAGTAATTACAGTTAGCATGTATATGGCTTGTAATTCGACCGTGTACAGTGAATATAATTATTTCTTATCTCTCCCGTTTTTGAAATTCAGCAAATTTGTATATGTAATTTACAGAATGGTTAAGAAAAAGTTGATGCAACTAATTTCTAGCTTTGAATCTCAATTGAGTGTTTTTGGGACGAGAACCCAATGTAATTATGATCAACACAAACATCTATTTGCATCAAATTGTGCTTGCTTTTGAGTTTTATCATGTTTTATCAGCCTGAAATTAATCTAGAAATTTTTGAAGGAGAGAAAGGAGTATGACAATCAAGGAGGCCATAAACGCGCCCTACAATTGTAGGGACGACTGACGATACGGGCCTAAAACTACAAAGTTCGCAATCGACGGTACGAGCAAATGAAGTCTCCAAACTGCTTGGAGCCTAACTGCTGGATTGCCAAACGCATTTAAGAAACGTGACTTGCTTTTGACATGACAACGCCGCATTCCACAGATCCTAAAAACATACAGTCTAAGCAACAATTATTCTACGATAGTCTAATGGTATAAAACCGTTTCCTTTGGCATTTCCATATTATGCTAAAAACAATGTACTAGTAAATTATCTGCATACGAGGTATTTTAATGTAATGAGACCGACAACGTAGCCTTCGATCAGGCAACTCTGGAGGTTGACAGTCAGAATGATCGGGGAAGAGTCAAATTTGACTCACACCACCGTTCATCAGATTTTGACGAGTAAACTGGGGATTAGAAAAATCTACATAAATGTGGTTCCAAAAAACCTTTCGCAAGACCAGAAGGACATCACAAAGGAAAGATGCCTTGACTTTTTTGATTCGATTATAAATGACCCCTATTTTCTGGAACGTGTCATTACTGGCGATGAGTCGTGGGTGTTTGAATACAATCCAGAAGCCAAGCGCCAGACGAATAAAGACGAAATGAACATCAAGAGTAAGATCTGTTTTTTCGATATTCACGGAATCGTCCACAAAGACTTTCTACCTCAAGGCCAAACGACGAATCAACACTTTTACCGGGAGGGCCATTCGTCCAAACATCAAGAACAACTCGCGATAATGCTCCTTGTCACACACCAATGTCAATAAACGAATGTTTGGCCAGTAAAAACATTTTTTATATTCCAACTTCCCGAAGTTGAAAAATGACTTTAAGAGAACTCATTTTGGCACAGTCGAATCGGAGATCCAGAGTAGAAGAACCGTCTCCAGGGATGTGTGGCTTCAGAATGAAGTATTTGAATACAAAAAAGACAGCCTCATTACTTAATTTACAGACCTCGTGCAGTTTAAAATTCTTTGATTATGGCTACTGCCCGTTTAGTACGTTCCGAAATACAATACTTTGTCCGATACGATCAGTTATTCCGTACAACAGAATTTTAAGATCAAACACGTACACACGGGCAGGTTTGTATATGATATAAAATATTTTGATTTAACGCTAATTTAAAAAAAATGAAAGATATTTATACAACAATATGCCTTGGATGTAAAAAACAGTTTAGCACATTCAAATACGTAGGTGTAGCAAAAAATGTCTGCTACTAGCTCTGTAACTTTCCGCTAGATGGCACCTCGAGGGTGTGCCTACTGATAACATCACAAAATAGTGTGCGAAGTGTTCTCATAGCTTTTATTTTTACAAGAATCTTATTTTTGATCAATGAGTCGTTCTCAAAATTTTTAATAAGAATGCTGATTTTAACCGGGCGAGAAAATCCAACCTTTCGTTCATAATGAAATCGCCAACTGAGGAAATCAAGCGAGTACAAAATAAAATTCTTGTAAAACAAATACGATGAAGAAACCTCGCACACTACTTGTGGTTATCAGCTGATTAATACAGCAGACACAGCCTTGAGCTGCGGTTTGTTGACAAGTTACAGAGCTAGTCTGGGAACTTTTTGATACACCCTTGTAAGTCTGTTCTTTGTGTAGGAGTCAAAATATAACAACTTCTACACCACTGCTGTAGTTTGAGTCAGAAAAATGTTTGTATATATTGGTTATGCTCTTCAGGCTGCAGGACTAAATTTCAAAACATTACAGGCTTTAGCGCAACAAAAATTGCGATACCTGTTGTTTGTTAGGAAATCTACGTTGATACTCCCGAGAAACCGCTAAAACATTTCCATTACAGAACCCGAACACAAAAATAATATCGGCGTACTTATCATTGCTAAATTCCATTTCACAACACTCACAAATGGAAAGAAGAAACTTCTGACTTGATTTTTACAAAAAAAAATGGTAGTACAGTATATTCAGATAAGAGATAGACCGGATGTAAACAAAAGGTTCGGGTGATTTTCACGCTAACGCCGCCGTCTCGACGTAAAACAGGAGCCCTCATTGGTCAATTCGCAATTAAATGCCTATGCAGAGCGGCAGAGCAGTCGTATCAAGGCAGAGTCACATTCAGGTTCAGACGTGTTACGTATGTCGTGTGCATCATTGCAATTTGATATTTCTTTGGACGTTTTCGTTTGTTATCTTATTAAGTTGTTGAGTTTGTCGTTGTTATTGTTATACCCTGTTATTGATTGTTATTGTTATCAACTGCTTGCGCAAAATGCCCAGTAGTACAGATACTGCCGATGAAGTTGTAAACTCCTGTAGTCC